CCCCCTTCAAAAAATATCTCTATATATGCATTTGTGAACTGTTATTTACGATATTTATAATAATTTTTGTTTAATCACTTTATTTCAACTTTCTTTTTTGCTAATTATGTATTCGCTCGAACTTCGTTAAAACCTCAACTGTACCCCGAACAACAACCGAAGTTGTACGAGGAAATTCGCGTATTTTACCGATCTAGGTATCCCCCCTTTTCCAAATTTTAATATCGACTCGAAATAATAATGTAATAATAATAAGTTTTAATAAAAATTATAAAATGTAAATTGAATTTTGTCATAACGAGTTTGCTTAAATTTCCTTTCTTCTGAGATCGCAGCAATGCGCGACGGTAAGCTAGTATTTTATAAATTACGATTCTTACTTAATACAGTATGTATAGACCAATATAATTTTTATTACTTACTTATATAATTTTTATTACTTATATAATTACTTATACAGTATGTACCAATACAGTAATATACCAATATAATTTTTAGTTTTAAAAAAGAAGTTGTTTGACGATATAAATTAAATTAATTCATTTTTTTAATTATGCTTTTGGTAATTGTCCAATTGGTGTGTGGAAATTAAAATTTCCAGGAAAGAGATCAGCAGCCCGGGGGTACATCAATTTATATGACTGCCGAATGGTGATGGCAGCCACTCCAGCAATGTCACCAATTTCTAAAAAATAAAAAATACAAAAGTTGTTTTTGTTTCTTTTTCTTAATTTGAGAGAAGAAAATAATTACCTTTTTGAGTCTTCTTATGTTCAGAGGCCTGACTGGCCATGTAGATGGCCGCCGCCGCCACAGAAACGGGACTGCGTCTAAAAAAAGCGCACATACATCTGATGAGAGGAAAGCTTGTTTGGATATAAATATAATTCTAAATATGAAATATCAATTAAATTTGGACTGATTTCTAAAAGAATCAGATGAGTCCAAATTTATAAACAGTAATTACAGACTTTTGGCAATTAAGGACCTGGTTAAGTTTCAAAAGACTTCTTAGTATAAAAGTCACATATAAAATTATTATTAAGTAAAATCTAAAGTACTCACGTCGAAACTATAGACTAAAATATAAAATTACTGCCAGTTTTACTGCCAAAGCAGATGGAATAAAGATCAGACATTTTCGATTCTGATATGGCAAAGCAAAACAGCATAAATTACACTACTAAGACTGTTTAAGAGTGACATTGTAAATGTAACAAGATTTATCTTTCTAACAAAGGTTTGTTAGAAAAGTCTGTGTTTAGAAAAATCATAAAATAACAAAAGTCTGTGTTTAGAAAATAATTGTTTGGCTAATGATTATTTTATAGTATCTGTTACAATTGTAAGTTAAAAAAAGAAAACTTGATGTTACACAGTATTATTGTATGGATTCCCTTTTATTAATTATAAAGTTTGTCCATTTCTTTTTTTAGATAGTTATATTTAAATTATATATTCCTTACAGAAAAATTACAGAATGGCAATTTTTAATTTAAATTTCCATTTCTATGCATGAGTAATTAGTCAGACATCTTACCAGCAGTGTTGAATATTCTGACAGCAATCACCTTGCCTTAACATTTTTCTTTAAAAGAGTTGATATGCCAATAAATTGCCAGATCAGCTTTTGCTGAAGCTGCTTTACACTCCCAGCCAATATTATGCCTACCTTTCAGNTATAATTTTTATTACTTACTTATATAATTTTTATTACTTATATAATTACTTATACAGTATGTACCAATACAGTATTATACCAATATAATTTTTAGTTTTAAAAAAGAAGTTGTTTGACGATATAAATTAAATTAATTCATTTTTTTAATTATGCTTTTGGTAATTGTCCAATTGGTGTGTGGAAATTAAAATTTCCAGGAAAGAGATCAGCAGCCCGGGGGTACATCAATTTATATGACTGCCGAATGGTGATGGCAGCCACTCCAGCAATGTCACCAATTTCTAAAAAATAAAAAATACAAAAGTTGTTTTTGTTTCTTTTTCTTAATTTGAGAGAAGAAAATAATTACCTTTTTGAGTCTTCTTATGTTCAGAGGCCTGACTGGCCATGTAGATGGCCGCCGCCGCCACAGAAACGGGACTGCGTCTAAAAAAAGCGCACATACATCTGATGAGAGGAAAGCTTGTTTGGATATAAATATAATTCTAAATATGAAATATCAATTAAATTTGGACTGATTTCTAAAAGAATCAGATGAGTCCAAATTTATAAACAGTAATTACAGACTTTTGGCAATTAAGGACCTGGTTAAGTTTCAAAAGACTTCTTAGTATAAAAGTCACATATAAAATTATTATTAAGTAAAATCTAAAGTACTCACGTCGAAACTATAGACTAAAATATAAAATTACTGCCAGTTTTACTGCCAAAGCAGATGGAATAAAGATCAGACATTTTCGATTCTGATATGGCAAAGCAAAACAGCATAAATTACACTACTAAGACTGTTTAAGAGTGACATTGTAAATGTAACAAGATTTATCTTTCTAACAAAGGTTTGTTAGGAAAGTCTGTGTTTAGAAAAATCATAAAATAACAAAAGTCTGTGTTTAGAAAATAATTGTTTGGCTAATGATTATTTTATAGTATCTGTTACAATTGTAAGTTAAAAAAAGAAAACTTGATGTTACACAGTATTATTGTATGGATTCCCTTTTATTAATTATAAAGTTTGTCCATTTCTTTTTTTAGATAGTTATATTTAAATTATATATTCCTTACAGAAAAATTACAGAATGGCAATTTTTAATTTAAATTTCCATTTCTATGCATGAGTAATTAGTCAGACATCTTACCAGCAGTGTTGAATATTCTGACAGCAATCACCTTGCCTTAACATTTTTCTTTAAAAGAGTTGATATGCCAATAAATTGCCAGATCAGCTTTTGCTGAAGCTGCTTTACACTCCCAGCCAATATTACGCCTACCTTTCAGCATTCAGGAGGACAAGTTTAATGTTTGACCGTTTTGTTTCTCAGTATAAACAAAAAATGAATGGAAAAAAAACATCAGATATAGTCTTTCCATTTCATATTACTTTACAGCTTATTTGTCATTAGCAGAAAAATTACAACTTAAAATGAAAATGTTAGATGCATTTTTTCTATAACTAAATAGCCCCCAAAAAATTTACTTTTTTAATATAATATTAAACAACAATGTGTAACACTGCATTTAATATTTTCTAACAGTGCTGTGTAGAGTAAGGACTACATTTGAATTAATAAACTAAACTCAAATATACTGTATGAAAATATCTACTAAAAAGTAATAAGATTGAAAGTCGGGGCAAACCAAACTAATAATATAATGGCATAAACCGTAGCTGTAAAACTAACTTTAAGGATATAGGAATTTGAAAACTGGACCAACAAAAGATAGCAAATTTTTGGTGCGATATTGCACACTACTAATTTGCTATTTTATCCAAACATTTGAAACTTTAAATATCTACTTATGGGCGAAAAACAGAAATATCTGTTCAATATAATACGATTATTTTATTATTGAAAATCTGAAAAATTTAAAATTAGTCGTTTATGGTTCTATACCCACAATACTTTTGTGATGCAAATAAAAAAAGTTCCCAATTGGTCAAAAGTTCCGTAAGAAATGTCGACGGGCAATGTTACAGATGGATATTGGAATGGCAGGCAAAAGTAATAACTAATAAAGTTAATTAAACTGGCAGAATGAGACCAAACATAAATACATAACTTACCCGGAAACGATGTCTATTTCAATTGCTTTTCTAGCAATGTGAGTGGCTGCCGTCTGTACAGAGGCCGGAAGTCCCAGATTGGAGCAGAAACGAGACTGAAATATAAGAATCTGTTATTAAAATATCAAAAACTCATCAATCTTAAAAATTAATACAATTCAGTTATTTTTTATTAGACAACAAATTTTGCTACGAAACAGTAAAAAATAACTTAATTACAAGGTTAGGGCTCATGGTCATTTTGCCATCTAGTAATCCTCCCATTAAGAAAAAGGGAATGTGTTGAATCATTTGATTTCCACATTAAATACATTAAACACCAAATTAAATAATAAATAAATACAGCAATATATACAAATATTATGAGTAAAAACATAAATATAGCAAAATGGTGATAAACAAGACTATAAAACTTCAAATAATGCTTGCCAATCACATGACACCACTGCAGAATCTTTCAAATTAATCGAGGTCCCTTTCTTATTAGCCTTGTAAATTTCAAGCCTTTCCAAATATTTAAGTTATGTCATAGCCAAAGTGCAATGTAGTCAGCGTGTTCTATCGAAAGGCCACCAAGGCAACCAATACATAGGTGCTTCCTAATAGTGACTTTCTTGTTGCATGCTCCTCCACAACTTGAATCTATTTTTTTTAAATATTCTTGTGTTTTTGCCATTTTAAATAATTGAAGATAAAAATCTTACAGATTAATTACATGTTATATCATTTTATACTATATCCATGTGTACCTACTAGCTTTTGCTGCTTTGATGAAACTGATTACTTATTTATGGCTTTTAAAATTTTCCAATTTCTAAAAAATCTCATCTGTCTGTCTCTCTCTAATTTAATTACACACTTCATTTAATGCATTAATATGCAAATCAGTTTCTATCAGACACTGCCCATTTTAACTTGATTTCATTACTAAAGCATTAATTCTTTGGTTTTGACCACTTAATTATAACCTCCACTGTTTATAGTTTACTTGGACTTCCCTCAGGCTTTTGATTCAATAATTCCTTCCATTCATATAATTTTCCTGAACAAATGATTTGAATTAGATTAAAAAATTTGTTGTTGAATTAGTAATTTTCTCCTATTGAAAAACAAAAATCTTTATAGGTGACTCTTCTTTTCTCAAAATTAGTCCCCTTACACAAATAACATAGATATCAACTCTAAATACTCTATACATTAATAGAATTATTTTCTCTAAATATTCAGAAGGCCAATTTCAATAATCATATTAAAAAATTCAGCAACAAGTTGCATAACTTTCCTGGATGTTATGAGATTTTATTAAAAATATAACTTTTATATTAGTAATCATACTATTAATAAATAAATTGTGTATGGTGCCATATCTTATGAAATTTTGTTATAAAAAGTTTTNTATTTTTTATATCTTTGTTGACATACAGTTATATACATTTGTCTTGAACTGTAACTGTATGTTTCAACAAAGATATACAGCATTTGCCTTGAAAATATCAATTAGAATTTGAAATGGACTTCACTTACCATGAAATCACCAGTAGTGGTAAAATCGACGCTTGTTTCTAAAACTTTTATAATTAATTTAAAGCATCGACCAATTGTTTTCTTGGAAGTTTTTGATACTGCACATATTTCTGAAAAATTTAAAAATATAATTAATTTTCTTAAAAATTGTAATCAAAATTAGTTGATTTTATTATCTTACATATGTTAGAAAGAAGTCTAAGAAGTTTTACGAGTTTTAATCTCGTGGTTAAAATTATTCTAATATAGAATTATTCTCGATGCACTGCAGGAGTATAAATCGTGGAATAAACTTGCAGATAAGTCAATCAACCAACCAATTTTAGACAGTCAAATTTTATTCTGTAAATTAATGAAGAAAAGAGACATTCAATCGGCTCCAATTCTGACACAAGTGATCTTTATTTCCATAATTTATAAACCAAGTTTATCCTAATCCTGACACAATAATTTTACAAAGATTAGAACCTATCACATTGTATAGCGATTTTCAATTTCAAGAACTGGTTTTGATTTATAAAGTTGCAATTATATATTAATTGTCAGAGTTAAGCTAATCTCACTTCATATAACAATACTTTATTATTATAATTATAAAGTATGTATTTTAAAATATTGTACTAAATAGACTACAACTTAAGTTTTTCTATTAACGTAATATTTCAACAAAATATGAACATCTTTGACCTTTTCCCGAAGTCTGCATGATGTGCCCTCGAGTTTAAAAATACAAATTCTATAATATAACGTTTCAAAAAGCTTTTGCAAGCATAAAACCTTAAACAGACTAAAAACATTTCAATGAGTTTACAACTACTGATAACAACTTCATCGGCAAACACGATGTGCCCTCGAGTTCACTATCACGTTGTATTTGAGGACTTTGTAAGCTACATCTGTGAAAAGCACTGTATCAATAAAAACTGTGAATGTCATTTGAAAAATATCAATCGTAATTTTCAATGTCGTTATAACAATTTCTGAAAAAAATAACTGAGTGCCAACGTTCTTAATTACAGGAATACCTCGATTATCGCGATCTTTATTTACCGTGATTTGTAATTTGATACCAAAATTTTAATTATTGCACTCCAAATTCGAATTATTGTGGCTGCGAGACATAGCCCACTACATATGAAACCAAAATTACATTTAGTTCGAGGCGCCAATCTCCAGGTAGTGCTTCATTTATATATGACAAAGCCTGCTCATCACCAGTAACTGTCCCTGAACAGTAACTTATACTAACCAGTAACTTTATAGAATTTTATACATTTATTTAATATTTCTTTCCAAAACAATGATAATTATTTGTTGTTTTTCATAATTATAAAAACTATTTAATGATTAAAAAATATATATAAATAATTCATTTATTCTGATGAAAATTATGTTTTTCTGTGAAAATTCAATAGATAAAATAAAAAAAACTATTAATTTTATATTTTCGTAATGTAGTTTATAACCAAAATACAAATTAATTATAAATTGTTTTTGTTTTTAGTACATTTTATCCGTTTTTAAAAAAAGGGCAAGCTTTAGCTAGTAGTTTCAATAAATATTACTTTAAATATTAAAATGTTTGATTTATATTGACAAGACTATGTCTTGTTTATAAAATCGTACTGCCGGTTTATGTTACCAGCTTAGGGGTATGAAGAAGTACATGTCGAGCGTTGATATTTGGCACAGAGTATTAGGTGCCCAAATCATTTGCGTATAAAAAAATCCAGACTCGTAGGTAGTCAGGGGACCGAGAACCGAGTCAAAATAAAATAGAAAATGGCGACCCTCTTCTACAAACAGGCAAAACAGGCACCTCACCCCACCGAAGTCAGGTGGGGGAGAGTACCACCCACAGTCATTCTAAGAAGTGAACCTTAGGACTGAACACGTAGTTTCTTCTATGTTAAATAAAATTTGTAATCTCATTTTGTAAATTTGGAAGCGCTACAAATATCACATTAAAACAGAGTGTCATTACAAGTAAGTTTTTTTAACATTATCTAGTATAGTAAAGTTGTGGAACCGATAAAAATTTGACGTTATATTAGGGTTGTCGTTACATCCGATGACGTTATAATCGGGTTAAACTGTATATTGTTTGTGCAAAATAAAATTATTTTCAGACGATACAATAGCCACGATTATTTTTTTCAAAAATGGGAAATTTTCGTTACGCATCGACAAAAATTCAACCCGGGCCGACGCAACGGAGAGAAATTTCGAAATTTGATAGGTTAATTTTATCGAAAATGCATCATGGTCGTGGCCGGCGAAGTTTGAACGATCGCGCCCAAAAGCAGCGATACTAAAGAAGATTGGAAAATGAGAACGAGACCCGCCTTGAGCGTCAAAGTGATTCCGCTTAGTAGTGAGTTTCTGACACATAGTCTTGTCCCAAATACGGTTTTGCCGTTTTACTTGTGTCTGTATAAATTTACTATAAGGTATGGTGCAATATATCACTCCTATCAATTTAATCCAATCTAAGTACACAAATAAATTTCTTTTTAACAAACTGGAGTTTGTCTACTTTGAGAAATAGGGACTCAGAATGTAAACCTACCAGCATTTTAAGGAACTTTTACTGGCAAATTCCCTTCTATTCCTTTGGAATTTGTCAATCTTAATAAAATCTGTCTGAAAATGTGAATATCTTTTTGACTACTATTTTTGTGGAGGCATAAAAGGTTACGATAAAGTCTCGGCAGTAATAACGATATTTTTACGTACCTTTAAAGGTTCTGGGAACTCCTTCTTGTCTGCATGCAATGTACAAACAAGAAGAGGCAATTGTGTCCATACATCGACCTTTCAACATCTTGCTTTCATGTACTTGCTTAAACAAATAATTTGCTCGATCCTAAAATACATAATAAAATAAACGAGTATATTATCATTTAACCATGCATAAAATATTCATTTTATAACAAATTTTCGAGATATCTGGATCATTTTTTTAATTTATAATGTTATAGCATAATTTAAAAGAATGCATACTTCCTAGTACGTAAATAAAAGATATATGAAAAATATTTGTAATAAAAGTAAACGTTGCTCAGAGCAACATCGTGCAACAATGAAATGGATGTGAATATGTTTCAATGCAGAAAATAAAATACAGCTTCGCAGGTTACTTTTAGAATATCTGCTGCTGATATTTTTGAAGGCATTGAATTGGAACTTGAGAACTTTATCTCTGCAGAAATTAGTCAGTCTGATTTTAGACAGACTTTACCGAATCCTGATTTAAATTTGGAGACAGACAGTTTTTAAATAATAAGCTTGCTGAAATTTTAGAACTAGCTAATTCTGTTACATGTAATTATTATAACTCAGTAACAAATGCTAAAAATAAATAAATTGTGTATTTTCAGAGTGACATGGAAGACTGTGCATTCTAGTTTACAGTTTTAAAGTGTACACTAGCCCTGAAACATACAATGTACTTCATTGCCAAATGTACGGATCAGCAGGAAACCATGATTAGATTAACCAAAGTAATTTCAAGAAATCTAATTGAAATGCCGAATTAATATCTGCCATCTGTGACTTGCAGTCACAGATGGCAGATATTGGCACTTACTGTTTGTGTGCAGTAAGACGTAACAGGCTTGCAGGCTGTAAAATGCTCTCTGAGAAAGAAATGAAAAGGAAGGAAAGGAGATCATTTCAGTAAAACTTAAGTAATGTAGACCAGTATTTCTTAATAGGGGGCCGCGGCCCTCTGAGGGTCCATAAGAAGTTTGCCTGGGGCCGCCAAATTATACAAAATTTCCTTCAGAATATAATAAAAAGAAAATGATGTATAACCGAATATCGTATTGAAAAGTGAAATAAGAAAGATAAAGTTTTCACATTTAGTTTTTTTTTATTTATTTCTTATTTCTTCCTACATACAACTTTGTTAGTACAGAAGAAATAAATGCAAATATGCTACTTACACCGCAGTATTTACTTCTTTTCTCCAAAGTAATTCTAAGAAACTATTAATGCTTGGAATTTTAAAAATAATTAGGAAAAATAGTAGGCTTAGTAGTAGGCTTTGAAAATTTAGATGTTTTTGCAAAAGATATGCAAAATCTTTACGACAAGTTGTTGGTGTTTTAGTTTTAGCATCGACTTTGGATCAAATAATAGTGCATTTCTTTCTTATATTGTGTGTTTAGTTTTAATTATTTATAATTAACCCATAAAAATGAGCAAAAAACAGAAAGGAACATTAGAAAATTTTTTAATGTAAATACTCATGGACNTTGTTGGTGTTTTAGTTTTAGCATCGACTTTGGATCAAATAATAGTGCATTTCTTTCTTATATTGTGTGTTTAGTTTTAATTATTTATAATTATTCCATAAAAATGAGCAAAAAACAGAAAGGAACATTAGAAAATTTTTTAATGTAAATACTCATGGACCAGGACCTTCAAAAAGAAAATACAGTGAAGAAAATACTAGTGAAAGTTCCGATGATGATACAGTGAAAAATGCAACAGAAAAAAACTGAAGGTATAAAATTAAGTATCAATAACATTAAAATTAGAAAATACGATCGTGATTATATCAAATATGGGTTCATAAAAAATCAATTTATTATAGATAATTTAACAAATATAAATTATTATTAAAAAATGGGGGGTCACAAAAAACTATGAAATATTTGGTGGGCCGCGAGTATAAAAAGGTTAAGAACCACTGATGTACACAGTCAAAACTTGTGCGCAGATAACAGGACTATTACTCTTCTAAGTATGTGCTCAGGGACATATTCTTACAGTGCTATCTATGGTACTATTTTTTTCTATTGAATTACTATTTAATACAAAAATAATACCATAGACTGTTTTTCCATTTTATCGATATAAATGTCATTCAGGCTTGGTGACTGTTCAAATGTGATTATAATAATCTGGGGAAAAAACCACATAAGCCCCGTAACATGCAAAGCCAAAGTTGCCCATAACATGCAAAGCCAAATATGCAGAAACAAAAAAAAACAAACATAAGTTTTGCAAAAACGTAGACGTCTCGGTAATCCTTCTATTTGATTAATTAAAGATGAATACAAAGAAAGAAAACAGAAAGATCATGCAACTTTATTCTCAGTGAAAATGTGTGAAGAGACTAAGTTGGACACTGGCCAACTTTCAAAGGTAAAAAACATAACTGTAGAAATCCTGATTGTAAAGGTATCCCAAAGTATTGATATATATATATATATAGTGAGAAAAATACCAATGTATCTGTATTTCACTTTTAATAACTGCTTTTATAAGTTTCATATCAATTAGTAAAATTGGTAAAACTGGGGCTTATACATAAAACATATAATAATACTTTTTAATATACAATGTAATAATTCTTCATAAACATATAGTAAAGTTTAGGGAACGTGTTGATGTTTATTCATACTAATCTACATTATTGCATGATGTTGCTTCAAAGCAACGTTTAAAGAGGGAAATCCCTAAAGGAAGAATTTTGATGTTTCATTAAAATTTAGTAAATTTAGTATGTACTTTTCTCAATTTGTGCATGCTGAAAGTGAATTTAAAAATTTTACAATAGCTTGAAATAAATTCATGCAGTAAATGGTTCAAATAAGGGTCTTTTCAGCAACTTACATCACACAAGGAACTCTTATTGATGTAAATTTTATTACTGGATGTGGATATGCATTTTGTTTCTTCAGTTCTTATTTTTTATACAGATCTTATTAAAACAAACAATAGTTATAAATTACATCACACATACGTGTTTACAGTAAATATTTACAAAAAAATTTTTCTGCTTACATTAGCTAGTAGTTAATACAAATTGAAATTAAAAATTAGATAATTAATTGGATATATTATAAAATTCTTTTAAGAAAAGGTGCTGTATAAAATAAAATTGAAGTAGTTAATTCTGTTTATTAATATAATTAACTGGATATTTTTATAATACAGCTGTCCCTTGATAATCTGACAGGTATAGGACCAAAGGGGTGTTGGATTACTAAAAGTGTCCGGATTACCGAAAGTGATTACATATTTGGCATTGTTTTGCTAGCAGTAGCTTACAATATTCCCTACTCCAACTGTTCGAACAGAACTGCTCACAGAAAACACACGAAATGTGTGTCGTCGTGTAAGAATTGGGTGGGGAGTTTCACGTCACGATATGCTTCTGATGCAAGCAGACACGTAACGGGGACGAGTACCTTGACGGGAGGTGCGTCGGACTACTGAGCATGTCGGATTATAAAACGTCGGACTACCAAGGGACAGCTGTATATCCAATTAATTATCCAATTTTTAATTTCAATTTGTATTCAATAATCAGTTAATGTAAGTAAAAAAAGTTTTTGTAAATATTTACTGTAAACACGTATGCGTGATGTAATTTACAATTATTATTTGTTATAATAAGATCTGTATAAAAACTAAGGACTGAAGAGCCGAAATGCATATCCACATCCAGCAATAAGGTCTATATAAATAAAACTTCCTTGTGTGATTTAAGTTACTGAAAAAAGCCAAAATTTTTGACATGAATACGTTTTTAAATTTGCTTACGTAGTGGAGGCAATTCAGAAAACTGATGATAACAAAATCAGAGGATATAGTTTGGAATTGCAGCTACATATCTATCATCTACATCCAAAATTTAATTAAATCACTCGATAGTTAAAGGATCTAAGAATTTATTACGTTGAATGGGGATTGTGACGCATTGCACGCGGCGGAGGGGGAAGCGCCGCCGTTTTCAGGTCGTTTCGCTACATCACATACTTTACGTTTAGTATACATTTTGACTCGGAGAAACTACGACGCTCGTTTGAGTTTCAATTTACAGCTCTCGTCAATATTTATCGATTGCGTACACAAAACATTAGTTTGGAATAGTTATGGTGAATATATATGGTGTTAAAGTTAAAAATTAAGAAAACTTAGTACAGTGTTGGCCTATACTCGTCGAAAAGCCAAATCAAAATATAAAAATCGTACACGGTTGAAAAGGGCTTCTCAAGAGCAATCTAGTGATACGCATAAAACACCATGTAATAGAGTGAAGCGGTGCCGGGAACATAAAAAAACATGGAGATCCGAAGGACTTCTTGCTGTTAAGGAATGATTATGACATGCATATAATACGCACAAAGAAAATATTACCCGTTAACGTACACATATTCACGTAAAACACACGGCCGTGTTCCCGACACAGCCACACCCCACTTTTTCAACTTCAATAAATCCACAGAAACTAGTAACAAAAACAATCAATTAAAGAATTATTCAAATACTCACCACTATACTTTTTGGCAAATTTATTCTATCAGCCATATTATTTATTTCAGCAAATGCTTTAATAAGAACTCTGTCCGAATTGCTCATCTGCAAAATATAAGGAAATTAAATTGATAACCTATTATTTAAAATAATATATATTATTAATAGATTAGGTTAGGTACTGCAGTTTCTCTGTGTTATTGACTGTTGTTCCTTCTTTGTGAGTTTACATACATATATTGTTAAGAAACATCATAATATTATAATATATAAATGCTCTGTCTGAAAAAAACATTTGTCTATTACAAATATACATATTATATTATAAAGAAAAAGAAAGCGATTTTCCTTTTCTTTCAAAAAGTGTACTAAAAAGTTTTGCTAAAAACTCTTCGTTAAAAGCCTGGCGCAGGTCACCAAAAGGCCCGAGAACGTTTCCTTCTTATCATGCTTAATTGCTGGAAACGTGCTAAAGGTCAGTACAATATTTGTTTATTTGTTTAATTCTCAAAATGTCAGCGAGTAGGTTGGTTTTACATTTTTTCACCGAAAAACAGTCATTTGTATTTTTCTTTGTGCTGGAAAAATGTTTACTCTTAAAAATCGATATAAAACATAAATTAGGACTTACAGTTCTTCTACTTTGATATTTAGGTAATCCAAAATTATTAAAACTTGTTTCACCAGAACTTCCTGCAATTACTGTAGATAAGTCACTGCCATTAAGCAGAGGATTCTATAAAATATAAACATTAAATTTTATTTAGCATTTAAAATACATCAAACAAATTTGTATTTGAAATTAATTAAACTAAAATTTTTGGTTCTAAAATGGTTTTTATTATTTAAAATATCAAAATCATACAATGTAAATTGGCAATATGAGTTTGGAAATAGAAAAGTTATAATAACTGTAAAGTAGCACAATTAGGATTTGTTTGAATCAAGTTCTAAAGAAATATAAAACCAAACGGCAAACTTTTATTTAAAAATTATATTACCCAAAATAACATAATTTTCAATGAAATGTTTTAGACTTTATAAATCATAATAATTTATTACTTAATTGTTAGATAATAAAGTTTTCTTTACTTACTTCAGCCGCACCAACACGACACGGATCATTATCGGCCGTTTTGTCGGAGAACGTTCTCCATTCCACACCGACATCGATCACTCTGAAGCATAAAAAAATATACTACGGATAAATACATTATAAAATTTACATAATACAAACGACAACTTTGAAATGCCAATAATACTTTATTGGATACAAATGTTTCGGTCACTCGTGATGAGGCCATTATCTATATCCATTTTATATATATACATTAAAACTAAAATGTTCCATTACTGCCAACCGAAACCGAAACCTTCACTTCACAAAAAAGTACTATAAATAGAGGAAATAACCAAATCAATCAAGACGGATAACAAGTGTCCATTGATTTAATTTTAATTAATTGATTAGTTCATTAATTTTGATTTCATTTTAAATTTTAATTACAGAAACTGTAATTAAAATTTAGGTTTCGGTGTAGAGGCCAGAATTTTAATCATTATTTTATTATTTTTAAATTTAATTATTATTTTTAGCGTATATTAATATGTAATATTATATTAGTAAATTGTGTTATTTAATTTAACTTAATTATACTTAAACAAGAATTCTTAAATGCCGTTTATATTATACAAATGTCAAATAACGCAGTTTTTATTAATTAACTTGCGGAGCGTACCGAAAAACAGAAATAGTATTTTTCCTGCACATGCATTGAAATCTAATTTAAATAGCCGATGATTGAATTGTGACATCTAATCATACAAGGTAATTCTGAATTTTTAGTTGATTGTTATCTGTGGCCGCATCTTGCCGAGTAGCTTGTTTGGCGATCGAGGTAAATATGAATTCAGAATTTTGTTTGTGAACCGAATTGTTCAAAAAGCAAACCGTTCGAAACCCAAGGTTTGACTGCACTTCAAAATGAAAACTTAACTGACATTACATAAAAATTTTTCATCCATAGATAACATCTTTAATAGACCTTTAATTCATGGTGCATAGAATAAATCATAAACCCAGTGCATAGAATAAATCATAAACCCAGTAATAAATCATGACCGATTATAGTGAAGTGTATTAATCCTGTTAAAAACACAAAAAATGCTTAAAATACTATAAAAGAATGTGGCATCATAAGTGAAGTGTATATATATATCAAGTCCATAAGTTCGTGCGCATTTTTATCTACAAAAAAAGCAACAAAAAATTTTAACTAAATTTTATTTCAATCTATAATGTATTCACCATTATTTTGTACAATTTCTTGCCATCTTGATGGTAGCTTTTTAATCCCGTCTTTGTAAAATGATTTCGGGTTTGAATCAAAATATTCAGAAATAGCCTTTTTTACATTGTTCTCATCCTCAAAAGTTTTTCCTTTTAAAAAATTCTGCAAACTCCGAAAAAGATGATAATCACTGGGAGCAATATCTGGCAAATATGGTGGATGAGGTAAAATTTCCCAGTTGAAGCTTTTGAGTTGAGCAGTTGACGTTGTTGTCAGTTAGCTATTGACAGTTCATGTGGTATCCATTTTCCTAGCTTTGAAACTTTTCCGATTTGTTGTAGATGTCTATGAACAGTTCCATGGGATGAATTTAAACGTTCCGCAATTTCATCAACTGTTAAAGATGGTTCTGCTTCAACTAGTGCAGAGAGAGCATCATCATCAAAGTCAACAGGTCTTCCAGTACGAGCCTTATCCTCCACACTAAAATCATTATTTCTAAATCTTTCAAACCACTTCTGCGCAGTCCTTACACTAATTACAGTTTGATTATGAACAGTATTTAATTTTTTGGCTGCATTTGTAGCATTCTCATCAATGTCTCTTATATTCATCTGTTACTTTCATTTTAACGAAAATAAACAACTGAAATGTTCCCAATTCTGAACAGTATTATATGAATGAGATCCAATTTAACACTTCAGTGTAAAAAGTATCACATTAGACTGGCATTTTTAACAGCAAAACAAGATTTTTCTCAAGGTCATAAAATACGCACGAACTTATGGACTGACCTGATAAATGAACATCTTAAAGCCTACTAAGAAACCTGTTTTCTTAAAACTAGAATGTTAAAGAAACAAGGAAAGATATTAAATACGTAGACAAACGATAGTAATATATAGTTAAAGGAGGATATTTCCTCACTCCCAATTTGTGTAGGGACCTCGGATTGTAAGGAAAAGATCTTTCAGAATGGAAAAACTATGTAGGCCTATATATATAGTGCCGTAACTAGGCAGGTGCAACAGATGCACCCGCACAGAGCTCACTTGGAAGGGGGTCCCAAAATGCATGTATTTGTTTTATTATTTTCCCAAACCTAATTAATTAAGGGGCCTAAATGCAAATTATTGCACAGGGCACAGGAATAGTTAGTTACGGCACTGTATATATAGAATAATAATTAATTTTTCTGAAAAGGGTTTACATTACACGGTAACACTAGAGGTGTGAATAAAATATCTGCAGATAATTAATATAACAAAATATAATGATTGCAATTTCGACATATTGGCTATTTGCGAGACTTGGAAGGTGACAGTAACCCTACACCAGGAGTCGGCAAACTTTATTAACTGTCGACCCCAACCACTTTCCAAAACCTCACATTGACCCCCACCGTAAAGTTTTATTATAAGTGTAAGTGTATGAGCAAAATAAAATACGTTGTGATCTCTGATATCTGTTTAAGCAAAAAAAAAGGTTGTAACCCATTGCCACATCGACCCCCTAATCGAATCGACCCCTGAGGGTCGATATAGACCACTTTGGCGACCCCTGCCCTACACCAAAACTAAAGGATTAATATATAAGTTAAACACTCAATGTGAGGCCTGTTTTTTGAAAACATTTGAGAAGTGGGTCCTGTTATTTCGACAAGGAACAATTTGTGTTTAGGGCTACGTGATTCTCGAGTTTCATTCTAATCAGAGAGAGGAACGTCCGGCTGTCTCCTTGTTAGTCTTGGCCGACCTGAATCAACCTATTAGATTTTTAAAAATACTCACTCTTCGATAGATTATGGTCTAACAAATGCCAGTGAGCTTAATTCTTTATACACCAAAACTTAATTTCTGATCATCTACCTATGATAGTCTTTCTTATTTCACTTTTCAATACGATATTCGGTTATACATAATCAATTTTCTTTTTATTATATTCTGAAGGAAATTTTGCATAATTTGGCGGCCCAGGAAAACTTCTTATGAACCCCCAGGGAGCCGCCCCACCCCTGTTAAAGAAACACTGTTGTAAACGAAAACTCTTCCTGATTTTAAGTCTGTGAAATTACATACAATGTTATTATTTTGTTGAACTCGGAAGAATGTTTTTTATAACGTTTAATTAACAACTAGTTTTTGTTAAATCTGATTAATTTTATCTTTTATTCCCAGTTTAACCGACATGCCGGTCATTCCGCGAAAATACGGTAGTTCATTTGAAACTGGCACCTTTCCTCAAAAGCTCAACCATAATCTATTACTACTGATATATAAAGAAAATGAATCTAAATTTCATTTTGATAATTATCATTCAATAAGAATTATTTTTAGACAGTCAAACCAATGGTTTCGAACAGAATTTTGAAGGCTACATTTGCCCCAGTTGCTATACAATAACTGGTGCAGAGATTGGCTAGCATCATTAAGGTCCATTTACACACAACAGTGATTTGCTGGCATAGTACAGTGAATTTTTGCCTGTGGGAAATCGTTGACCTAGTTTTAAACCACCCTGTCCAGACTCGTCTGTCACGGTGCTGTGCAGTGGCAGTGGCGTGACCGTACCGTGAAAGTACAGTACATTTGACGGGAATCATATTTTCATTGACGGTAAATTTTCTTTTCCAATGGATGACGAACATTTAATTGAAATGGTGCATCAACGCTGTTCTATTTGATTTATCGCATTCGAAAAACATGGGCATTGGGTACAAAATGAATGTTTTTTCTGTTTTATTTAATAAAATATGAAATGCTTGTTGGGACATTCGAAAATATTCAAAAAAATATAGATTCTTCATCTCAATTTTTTATAAAGAGTATGAAATTCCAATTCTATTGATATTTTTTGTCCATGCTTGATGTACCCACTTGCAGCGCTTTCTTGATCGCATTTCTTTTTCATCCAAACATATAGCTATCATAACAAATTCATCCTCAGAAAGTCCATGACCACTCACTAACAGCACGATCACGTCACTGTTGCGTGTAAATACTCGTCACTGGCCATGCTCGTCACTATCACAAACAAAATGGTCACTGTTGTATGTAAATGGACCCTTAGACGTTACGACAAAAATCATCGATGACGTTATATTAAATAAAGGTTTGGATTTTAACGGCTCAAATCGATGAGAGTTAATACATATATTACCGAATTTAGACTATATGTGTAATAACATGCCAGAAATTGAGTCAAACATTATAAAAATAAATATTAGCAACAGTATTAAAAATTATATAACAAAAGAAGGAAATAAAACAATTATTAGAGATAAAATTACTTTAAATACAAACGCCAGATTAATAAGGTATATAATTTTTTGAAAGGCAATAATTTAGAAACTATAAAAGCTGATAAATCAAAGCAAATTGTTATAGTCACAGAAGAATGGGTCGAAACAATAAAATAGAGGTCATCAAGAATAATCAATTTCGAGAGTTACTGATCAACCCAAAAGATGTCATATATAAAGAACTGAGGAATCGTATTACAAAAATTATAAAAAATAAACGATGTTGAAAAATGGTTTATTTTAAACGAAAACAACCAACGGACACCAAAATTAAAAGTTCAGTTAAAAACACAAAGCAGACGAAAAGATAAGACCTATCATAAACTTTAAATATTCTACTCTAAATAATCTGGAGAAATTCTTTTACAAAGACATCAAAATTCTCAATTTGCCATTTCCAATACATATGAATTCATATATGACCTAAAAAACTTAGATATCGATGAAACATTAAGAATGGCTAGTCTTGACATTGTTAATATGATACATATTACCTCGATAACATGAGAAATGATTGAAAATAAACTAACACAGATAAATATGGAACCAGAAATTGTAGAATTAATGGAGTTTGCATATAGAAGCAACTATTTTGAAATTAAAGACAGATATTTTACACAAACAAAGGTATTAATATGGGTTCCGTAATCGGTCCAAAGTTGGCTGAACTTGTAATGATAGATATTGATAATCAAATTAATGAGATACCAAAGATATATTTTTACTAGCAGACCCCGCCACACGTTGTTGTGGCTCAAAATGTATCTATTATAAATTTATAACACTTCCCGTGGGGGGAAGAATTTTTCGAAAAATTTCTTCTTAGTGTACATTCTGTTGACGTACCCTATTAAAACGCAAAAAACCGCATCTAAAATAGTATAAATAGAAGCAGAGTTCTTTACGGTAAACCTTAATCCTAACCATCTCCCTTCAGTGGGG